GAAGAATGTACCCATCAGACCCTTAGTTAACTTTAAATGTGCTCCTACCTACAATGTTTCAAAAATGTTAGCAAGTAAGCTCAGCAATGATTTAGAATTAGAATATATATACAATGTAAAGAATAGTTATGAATTTGTTGAACGTGTAAAGAACATAGATATAAGTTCGAAAAGTAGGCTAGTCTCATTTGATATCGCAAATCTGTACACCAACATACCTGTATCTGAAACTGTAGATCTTGTTAAATGTAGGCTTTTACAGAATAGTTTAGACGATGAATATGTCAATCAGATTGTAAAATTGCTTGTGACTGTTTTGAAACAAAATTATTTTAGATTTAACAATAGATTTTACGAACAAACAGATGGTTTAGCTATAGGAAGTCCACTTTCGGCAATTTTGTCAGAAATATTTTTACAGCATCAGGAAAAAGAAATGTTAAAGAATTTAAGAAAGAATCATGATGTAAAACTGTATGTTAGATATGTAGACGACATTCTTGTTATCTTCAGACAAGCCCAGGATCAAGAGCACAAAACGATGATGCAGACACTAAACAGCCACCACCCAAACCTCACCTTTACCAACGAGTTTGAAGAAAACAAAAAGATCAACTTCCTGGACCTCACATTAGAGAGAAAAGACAGCAAGATAGAGTTTGACATCTACAGGAAACCTACGCAAACGGACACTACAATCAACAGGAAGTCTATCCATCCGACAATCCACAAGACCGCAGCCTTTAGATCTATGCTGTACTGTGCCTATAAGATCCCACTTAGCCAAGCTAATAGGAAGAAAGAACTGGACACCATTAAGAAGATCGCTCAAGTTAATGGATTTCGAACCAAGACGATAGAGGACATCGCAAGGAAGACGAGGAGGAAAATCGATAGGCAGAATACACTACACAGCAGAACAATATTAGAAGAGATAAAAGAGGAAAACACCAGATATATCACATTTAGCTACACGGGGACTACGACACAAAGGACTGCTAACAGATTCAAGAAATACGGAGTTTCAATAGCCTACAGGACTCAGAACACCATGAGTAAAATACTGCATCCGAAAATAGAAGATTTCAACAAATTCGACGCTTCGGGCATCTACAAAATTAATTGTAACGATTGTGATAACTTCTACATTGGACAGACTGTGAACTTCGTTAACCGCTTCAAAAACCACATATCTGCGTGGAGGAACAACAAACCGGAAAGATCAAATGTCGCACAACACCTGTTACAAAATGGCCACTCACTAGGAAAAATTGAGGATAGTCTAGATATTTTAAAGAATTGTAAGAAAGGATATGTAATGAATGCTTGGGAAGAATTGTATATTTATAAGGACAAATGTAAAAATAGAAATAAGTTGATTAATGAACAAATACATTTTGATTCCAGTTGTACTTGTAAAAATGTATTGGCCGGTGCTTCCGGTAGCCAATAGGATATAAGTAGGGACGCCATTAAGATTCTTGTCATTCGCCTATTGGGTCTGATGATGATTGGAGTGTCCAATCGAAATCGATCACCACTTACCATCTGTTTTGTATATTTACCGTCTTGTGAGTAACAGTGTAAGCAAGTGTTATAAGACGTTTCTTTTATTTACTTTCTGTATATATATATATTTGTCCGTTAGCACGATAACTCGAGCAAAAATGATCCAATTTTCATGCAATTTGGTACAAACGTGTAAACCTACATTTATTTTATTCGAACGAGTTCGCAAACCAGCATGATCGGACTATGGGAACGGGGGTTTATGAGGGGTTTTATCGGGTAAAAACGGGGTTTTCCCCTTTTTTAACGATTAAAACAAAAGATTCTGCAATTTCTTTAGTAAACATTTTGCAGAGCTTAAAAAAACAAATAATTTAGCATGCTAATTGTTATCATAATGGTTACAGGGAAATCCCAAAATATTTAAACTTAAAATGTCCATGTTATTCTTATGTAGAACAAGTAAACTGTTGTAGTTTGCTTTTTTATGGATGTAGGATACCTATTTTGATAAAACTTGGCAAATATATTTATTTTATACTCAGCTATTCATGTTTTACTAAAACACACCTTGAATACCCTCTCTTTAGCAGCAAACCTAGGTACTCGTTAATCCAAATATTATTGAAATACTGTAGATAAAAAAAAATTAAATCAGGCAAATGGGAATTCACTTAGTTTGCAGGTTTGCTGCAGCGGGGGTATTTTTTATTATGTCCAAATACTCCTTAAAAGACATAAAGAGGGGACCGTGCCTCCACTTCATTGACAAGTTTATCAACTTTCTTGTCCCTCAAAATACTTGCACTGGTCGTTGTCCAAGTCATAATAATAACAATAATAATACACATGATAACAACGCACTTGACTGTCAGACTGACAGACTTTTTAGTCGTCAGTGTGCGCATTCAAACTAAAATCCATGCCTTTGTGAATACGACACGACAGTTGAGTCGGGGAGCAGTCGGCGGGAAAATCGGTCAGCACCAAAATGCCCCGACTGTCTGCAGACAGTCTGCCGACTGTCTTGCTGGGGTCAGCCCGTGTGCGCGCTTAGATTTATCACTATGACTTTGTCTCCCGACTAAGACTAAATAGTCGGCCGACAAAATGTCTCTCGTGTGCGGTAGCCTTAGGAATTTTCACCACTATCAGACAAAACTCAAAGACATGCATATTCCTTTGATGGTTTCCGATTCATTATTAACAATGAATACATTCATTGTTATTATTCCCATAATCTCAAAAATACATATTGCACAAAAATATCATTAAATATTTGATAGGCCTACTGTATGGGATAACAGATTCAAATGTGTGAACTTACTGAAATAGTAAAAAGTAAAAACTAATTTTTGAAAATATTTAAAACTGTTGTAAAAGATGAAATGAAAAATTGAAAATGCTTCTTTATTGAGGCGAACTTAGGACCTCATGGTCTTTTCTTACAGTTAACCTCTTAAAGATAACAATTTAAAAAACGTAATTTAAAAAACTGTAGTAAAAATAGTTTATGAAATAAGCATTTTAAAAATTGTACTGTACTGGCATTTGGCAACAAGGTAATTTATATTGACAATTTCACTGAACTAAATCATTTACAGATAGGCTAGCAGTCTCAGTGAGCAACTGTTACTGATAGGGTGTTGATATAGTATAAGCTCATTCATCTCAACATATCATGTACAGTACTAGTCAACTAAATATTGTTCCTCTTTGGTTTTCTTCTACTGAAAATAGTTAAAATACTGAAAATAGAAGCTTAGCTCCTCCTTCTCTTTCATGGCCTCTGTCTAAGTAAGATAAATAAATAAATAAATAAAAAGGCCTTTATTTGCGAGCGAGTTTCATAATACATGGTTTTCAAACTAACTCAAGTCACTAAATCTAAACTATCCTAATATATTTACATAAGTATATACAAACAAATTACAACAGAATAATTACAATATACATTTTACATTTGTTTTTTTCATTGCGGCCCTGAATGTGTTGTACGATTTTGAACACTTGATCTCTTGAGGGAGGCCATTGTACAACCGCGGGCCGAAATAAGAAAAAGACTTTCTTCCAGCCTCAAGCCTCACTTTAGGAAAGTGAAGCTTGCGGTCGGAGCGAGTACTACGCAGACAGATCTCCCTCCTGTACTTCAGCCTCTCGCTGAGGTAATGAGGCTCTCCCAGCGTGAGCACTTTGTGGACCAGGCAGCAGGTCAGCTTTCTGCACATGTCATCCATTGGGATGAGCTTAGCAGCATCTCTGTAGGAGGACACGTGTTCAAAGCGACTAAGGCCAAAAATGAACCTTATGGCAGAATTTTGAATTCTCTGAACTCTTGCCATATCCTCCTTAGAGATGCTGTTTCCATATGCAGGAAAGCAATATGTGAAGGCTGGAAGGACCAAGGACCGCATGAGTTGCGTTTTGGCAAATTCTGGCAGGAGAGTTTTGAATCTGCTAAGACCTCTCAATCTTCCCACTGCGCGTTGGGTTTTACGCATTGATGTTGTACATTGTGAATTATGTAATTTAATTTAATTTCATTCAAATGAATAACTTACGTTTAATTTGTGTGTTTTATTAAAACACCAGTCAAGATAGGGATACACTTGGAAATTGGAAGATAACTCTATGAAATGCATAGCCCAATTATAAACAAAAATTTATTTTTTAAGTGCATTCATTTTTAATTTATGACTAGTGGGAACTAAACATGCAAATTGTATAGGCCTAGTGTGGCTTTAGTTTCAACCTAACCTAAAACACCAACATTATTATGGTGTAGGTATGGTAATAAGTTTTCTTCTTGACATCATTTTACTAGCAAATCTCCCTATAAGAAGTAGTTATTGCCGTAGGTGGCAGGGTAAGACCAAGACCCAGGACCAATTTACTTTTTCAGTTCCTTGGTTCAAGAGCTTGTGTTCTGTTTTGACATTTATACAACTTAATTAAAGAGAAACCACCCGTCTACAGTAGATTAGATAAAGGTATCCCATCTAAAGCACGGGTCACACTAGGCTGTTTGCCAGCCGCTGGTGATCAGCAGCTGGCACCAGCATCACCGGCTCACCAATCCAGGCTGAGTCAGCTCAGTGTCAGCTGCGAATTTTGTGGTCACATTAAGCTGACAGTCGCGGCTTCTTTCAATTCGCCGCTGATGCCAGCCTAGTGTGACCCGTGCTTAAGAGTTGTCAAATGGGCACTCACTTAACAGTAAAGTCATCATATGAGGTTATTTATAATACTGTTTTCAAACTGCTCAATACCCATTGCTAAAAATGTGAATGGTAACTATTTTATATTTTATTTGCGGTTTTGAGTTTTGGAGCAAAAGTAATCATCAGCACGTGATTTGCTGTCAGTTTGTGAATTGACTAATAAAACAAAAACTTGTAGTAGAGAGGTAATGACGAGATTACTCACATTAGGATTTAGATTTTTTTTATTGTAGGATAAAGTTATTAACTTTGAAGTATGACTAGCCTAATTAACAGGTTTTTAAATAAGAATTTTTTATTAGATAAATATTAAAATTCAATTTTAGATTGGAAGTGTTAATTGATAAACAAATCATCTTCATCAATGTTTATTAAATGGACTTCACAAAATATCATACAATTATTAACCACTGAAATGTTATTTTACAAAATCATTTTTTGCATCAATTTTGACTACGGTACGTAAACAACAAAATATTTGGAATGTTAACGAGATAAGCAAAACCTAAATTCCACTTCAAATGTCCAATTCAGAATATAATACATTAATAAAATTATAATTTGATACATAGTTCACTGAATGGTTTGACTGAATGGGTTTGAATGGTGGTCATGGTTTGACTGAATGAGCTCAAATATTATTCAAAGAATGTAGATTTTTTCATTTATGTAGGTTTATATATAGGCTAAACTTGAAGCACAGTGATCAAAAGTTAAATTAAATTAGGCCTATTGTTTTTTTACAACTCAGGTTTATCTTCAACACACTCGTTCGCCCGACTCAAAACATGTTCAATGAGATCAAAAACAGTTAGTCCAGAATTAATCACTTCCTTTTTCTCTTGAACTGACATTTTCCCTAACAGTTCATTTCCAACTGTCACTTCCAGCTCTTCACTTGTCTTGTTCTTCTCAGGATCATCCAAAGTTTTCATCTCCTCCTTAAAATGAGCTCTTGACAAGTCAATAGCTTCTCTTAGCGGCTTAAGGAAGTTTTCCTGAAGAACAGAGACGTAACTCCACACATTGGTAATATTAGACCTATCCCTTCTTGACAGAAATATGATCAAATTCAAAGCTGCAATAATCTGATCTTTATTTTCCAACAGATCAGTTTCTGCTCCATTCTTCAAAGAGCAATAGATGTTCAACAAGTCAGAGAGTCGCTTCCCAAAAAAGTATGGTTTCAGTTCAGCTCTTGAGAATGATTCTCGCACCAAGCTGGTCAATATCGATGCGAAAAACCCAAACAGTTGAGGATGTTTGGTGGAAGAGTCATTTCTAACGAGGATGTAGAACTTAGCTTTAGGTTCAAATAAGGAAAAGTGTTTCCTTATCAGTTCAACAGCAAGTTTCCTGTTTTCCTCCAAGTTGTGGTAGACTGCTATGGTCGAAAGATGGTCAATCACTTCTTTATGAACTCCAAATGCCAAATGCGAAAATGGCAAAGTACCCTCTTCAACCATTGTAATTGCTGCTTTTGCCAAGAGTAGACCTTTCCTTAGAACGAGTGTTTCTTTAAACTGGAGAAGAATGGAAGCCAATGTAAAGCAATTACTGAAAATGAAAAGTCTACTGTATGTATAAGGGATCAACACTTTGTCCGATTCACACACGAATAAGTAAAAAAACACTGCCACCGATAGATCTGAATGTTTAAATTCATTGCTAGAAAAATCTGTCATGGATAGTTTTTCTTCTTCTACTGATATCAGTTCTTTGTTTTCTACTAAAAACAACAATTGCACTGGATCACTCTGCAATTTGTGAACAGCTTGCACAATTTTACAGGCAAGAAGTCCTAAAGAAGTAGGTCCTTTTTCATTTTGTTCCATGTCTGAAAATGCAAGTGGGTGACCCAATAAATGAAGCAATGCTTGTACCAATGCTGATCTTAGATTTAAAATTCTAATACTATCATTGCATTTGCCTTCAAGCTCAGCAACAAAAGGTTCATAAAATCGAAAAATCAAGTGATAGTTTTCTCTTATTCGTCGAACATTCTCATCACACTCTAAGACTGCTTTGGCCTCTTTCTCTAAATTGTAATCTGTTGGCACAGGTAAAGTGTTTATGAATGAATAAACAACACTATAAACACAGTGCATCAAAGGTGCTTTTCTTTCAGGGATTCGAAGTATGGTGGTCTGGACAGGTTGTAGCAAGTTTTGGAACTTCAGTTCGTCCAGAGTCTCCATTTGTGCAAGAAATTCCATGAAACATTCTTTAGAATTTCCAATCTCTGCACACATGGTAATTATTTTTTTAACATATCTAAACAATCGCTGATCATTAAGCATTGTCTCTTCATTCAAGTAACAGCACAGTACAGGAATTAAATCACTTGACTTTTCTTGTAAAAAGCTTGTGAAGCTATCCTCAGCAATCATTTCTTTTATACTATTGACATCTCCAGAAGATAGGAGATCTCCAAGGTGTTCCATCATGTCCACTTGGATTTCCATTTTGTCTTCGTCACTGATGTAAACTGTTCTTTAACGACGTCAGTCTGTAACACATGCAGCTGAAGTCACTTGAAAACACTTGTTCATGCACAATATTTCTCTTAACAAAAACATTTCTTAAACTGTTGAAATTCCGAAATATCTTCAAACAATTTATAGCTGAGCTATAAATTTTTGACTGTCAAATCTTTAATGATTAATTTTGCCACTAACCTAAAATAGGTTTAAAAAATCAAATTCAATAGGTAACAAAAACCATGTTCTAGCGTAGTAGTTCTAAGAGAGATTTTTAGGTTGCAAAGCACATCAGGCACAGTTTTTGGCCAATTATGTTTTAAATGGGCTGGTTATTGTATTTATCCAATCATGTGCAATTTTGTAAAATGGTAGATGACATAACAAAATGAGTTAAACTGAATTACCGTAGGCCTGCTAAAAAGATAAATTTTGCATTCTAGGAAATAGACAAAAAATTACTGACAAACTTTTTTAACAAAGTAATTTTTCTTACCAAACACAGTAACTCAGCGGTAAAACGTTAGACTTAAAAGGCAAGCCACTCTCTTTATGCTAAGATCACTCCTGGATTGCATAAAGCTAGGGTTTCCAAGATCACGCCAGCTTGATCTGTCCGGGGTGATGTCCGTTGGCGCTAACTTTTGTCCGGCAGATGTCCGATCAAGCTCGGCGTGAGAGTGGTTTGCAAGAAAGGACATTCGCAGTTATTTCTCTTGGGAAATGGGCTAGTGTCAACAATGACGAAAAATTGCATATAAACAAACTAACTTAAATGTAGGTATACTATATTGTCAAAATTGTTTGAAATAACATTGGAGTTATAAAACAACTTTATAGTCCTTAAAATAAGCAAAATAACTACCAAACATAGCTCAACCATCTGGTTTTAGAAAAAAGTGACCCATGAAAATTTTTGGTTAAAATAAAAAACAAAACCATTTGTTTAAAGCAATTGGATTCTATTAAACTTACAATACCACCAAAAAGATTAAAATCAATATAGGATGATAGTTACAGTGTTGTTAAATAAATTTTACTTTTATTACAATCGCACCAAAATAAACTAAGCGTGATTTTTAAATTTGTACAAGAATCCTCACAGAGTCCTACACTTGTCCGCTTGGCGTGCACTCCAAAAATGACTTGGGTCATTTTCAGCGTGCTACGCTCTGGACTCACGCCGGACAGATGGCGGGAAAACTCATGACTGCCGTGATTGCTCGCGCTTGGAAACCGCACCCATATAAAAGCATGGCTTCAATTTAAACTTGATTACGTAATCACGTGTGATCTTGGAAACCCTAGCTTAAATAGGAAACTTACCGGTACTTCACTACACAGACCGGTACCTATGTCTATATTGTAAACAGTTAAGGTTCAGTAAACAGATAACAAATTTTCTTAGGTATTTTTACTCTACAGGGGTTAAAGGCCCCCATATTGGACCCTGGAAAATGATTTTAAACAAAGCCTACATTTTGTCCTAAAACGTAACATGGAGGGGTTTGGACAGTTTTAGACATTATGTTAAAAGTAACTTTATGGAAAGTAACCAAATGGCTTTAAAAATGCCAAACTTTCAAGGCCACATCTTTCTTAACAGAGGGGGTGGTTCCTCACTCCCAAACCTCCTGGTAACCCCCCCCCCCTTGAAATCCTAGAACCACCCACTGTTTATAAAGCTAGCCTAATTAAGTTAACCCTAGCAGTGGCCAACCGTCGTCTGGTTACGGTATGACGTTGATGCTTAGAATGGCCAAAGTCGTCTGGTTACGGTATGGGCCGAAATTTTTTTAACGGTAAAAAAAACACTTACAATCAACTCATATTAGAATAATATATATACCATTCGAAAGATCACATTCTGAACTTTCATTTGATTACATAAACAAACCCTGTAGCAGGTATATAACAATGTCACGACGATTAGAAATCAAATGAAATTTTGGCGCGGTACGATTTTTGCAGCCGACACTTGGGAACTGGCAAAACACGTCTTGTTTGGCATTACCCTGCTCGGGTAATTTTCGTCTTGGGATGTTGCGGGTGATACCACTGGATAGCCATTGATTTTATCTTCATTGTGGTAGTGATATTTATAACTAAATATTAATTGCACAATCGGTACGATTTTATGAAAACAGCTGTTTTCGAAATTTCTAACAAATGGCCAACAGTCGTCTGGTGACAGTATGGAAAATACGAATTATATACAGTGAAAGTTATTATTACTAGTCATATAGTATATCATTTTGAAGAGGAAGAAATTTAGATTCAGAGAGTGGCAGCCCTGCACTCAGGGTTATTTCTGTATGCTCGCATGTAGACAGTGATGTAGACGACGGAAGTGAGTCATTACTGCCACAGTCTGTCAGCTGTCTTGTATTGCCATTGTTTGTTTGTGTTGTTGCCGTAATAGTTTTATCCGCGATTTATTACTAAATATGTTATTAGTTCGTAGTGTTAGTGTAAGTGAAGTGTTGTGTGTGTGTATAACAGTTATCTTCATGCATAAATATTACTGAATTGTGTGGAATAGTGTTCATAAAAGGTTGTATTTTGTTAGCATCATGTCCTAAAATGACGATTCTGACATTCAGAGATTGTTGTACCTATATAATGATATACCCAAGGTGTTATACATTTTTATAAAAGTAAATGAATACACTACAACATGTTTATAATGGTTCGGGGGTAAACAATTTTGTAAAAAAGTTATAGCCTATACTAAATAGGCCTACTACTGTAGGCTATTTTGTTAGCATCATGTCCAAAAATGACGATTCTGACATTCAGAGGGGTTATAATGATTTACCCAAGGTGTTATACATTTTTATAAAGGTAAATGAATACACTACAACATGTTTATATTGGTTTGGGTGTAAAAAATTTGGTAAAAAATTATATAGGCTACTAAATACTGTACACTCCATTTTCTCGAAATGCGCAAAAAATTCAAAACGTTCTCAAATTAATAGGCCTACATAATCATAGGTGAAAATAACTTTTTACCATCATACTTATGACTTTTTTGGATTCCTTACTTCATTGGCTTTACAAATATGTAGGCTACATATCATCAGCCTACATAATGTTTCACAACACAAGCAAACACTGTAGGCTATAGTTTACACTTATTTGCGGTTTTGCGGTTATTGTATTATTATGTCCCTATTACGTACCTACAAAAAAATATTTCTAACATGTTATACATTTTTATGTTGGTAATTGAATACACTACAAGATTATTATGTTGGTTTGAAGTAAAAAAATTTGGTACAAAAGTTGTATACTAAGTACTGTGAATTTTGTTTTTCGAGAAATCGCTAAAATATATAAACATTATTTTATATACGTATGTTTATAGGTAAAAAATTATTTTTACCATAAACTTTATGACTTTTTTTGATTCCTTACTTCATTAGCTTTACAAACATGTATATATCATTATTAGTATACACATGTATTATAGAACTTTTTACAACATAAACTAACACTGTACGGTTCTCAATTTTTTCGGTTCTCCGTTTGTCATTATATTTCGCCCCAAAAACTTATAAAAAAAAAATATTTTCCTAACATGTTATATATTTCTATGTAGGGAATTAGATTTTCTACAAAATGTATATAATGAATTTCCCATAAAGAAATCCGTAGAAAAAAAATACCAAGGCCGCTTTTGAAATTTCAAAAAAAAAAATTCAAATTTTTTTATTTTTTTCACTTTATCGATAAAATACACTGTCTAAATCATTATGATATTACTATTTCTAGATTCTCCTGTTCTTTCCGAACAAAATGAATATGAGGTTGGCTAGGTTTACTTGTACGGTTGAATTTTTACGAATTTTCAAAAAAAGGTCTGCAAAATCGCCAAAATGGGTTGGCCATTCCCCACTTCTAACATTGGCCACTGCTAGGGTTAAGAGCCTGCAATCAATTAATTAACTTATTTGCCAAATTAAAAAAAAAACACTAGGCTATTAACAAAGCTTGTAGGCCTAGCTTAGACTATGGAGATTTGCAATAGGCCAGTCATATTTTGCTTGGTTTGTCATAGCCTATATTTGCCAAAACCAGTCCTTATTAACTTAGTAGGCTATTGAAGTGGGGTAGACTTCCATAGGCCTATCTGTTGTCAAAAACCACCAAATGAAAAATTATTCGATATAGCCTATCAATTATTTCATTTGGTTGTTTTTGACAACAGATACGGAAGTCTACCCCTGAAGAAGACCCTAACTTGCAGTTATCGACATTTTAACATTGTCAGTTCTTACTTAGCAAAGTACCGTATCTAGGCTAGGCTTAAGAACCTCCAGTTTGATGTTAAAATTGCAATATGCCTAAGTTGTTACCTTGGCATAAAGGCATACCCTATTACTTAAGTACATAAAGGGGAGAAACGTGGTTTAATACTTAAATATTAATCTTCGACACCAAATTACATTGTTTATAAGAGATTTTAAGCCAAGTAAGGGTTATGCAACTACTGTAAAAAGAAATTGGATACAACTGACTAACTGAGTGATCAGGTAAAATAGGACCTATGCAAAATGGTATTATAAATCAAACTTACCTGAATGAGAAAACTTTATAAATGCTCGACCGAAAGCTCCTCTCAGCATACAAATAGCCATTATACTGAAAAGTGAAAACAAATTAGCTGATTACATTTATTATCAGGCTCGAATAGGATCTGTAACTGAAGGAAAAGCTGAGAGTTAGTAAAGTCCATAAATAATTCTGAAAACTGAAAACCAAAAGGCAATAGTGACGGCACGGCACTGACGGCAGACGGCACGGCAGACGGCAGAGTAGAGACTAGAGACCAGGCTGAATTTAGCTGACGAACCTATCTGACGACCTGGTTTTTTGCCCCTATGATTTACGACAGGCCGAGGGCAAACAGAGCTGAAACCAAAATCAAGTAGACCTCCACCTCTATCTATATAGACTCTGAGTAGAATAACGATACCTTTGAAAATACTATGTGTGTGTGTATAATTATGTCAGTGACGATATAATGTACTTTTTACTAACTGTTACCATCTATTTCGTTGATTATTACTTATTATTTATTTATTTTATTTATTTTGGTTAAATTTGACCTGGTGTTTTAGTAAAGGCGTTGAGCTTGCCAACATAACTTCACACACGCAGTAGAGATTATTAGAAATTAGCTCAAACTAAATATTTTTTATGTAAGCACCCGAACTTTCGGAGATCATTCCAATGGCAGATTAGTAAACCTGCGTAATGTTATGGAGGGTTAGGGAAAAATCAGCTCTAAAGTATGCGCCCGAACCTTTGGAGAACATTCCTATTTCAGGTAAACGCCCTTGATTAATGTTTGGGAGGGTGCTAGAGATACATAAGTGATTCAAATATATAAAGCTCAAAATAAGACCTGGCTTTTAGCAAATTTCCCATATAGGGAATAAGCTAATAAAGCTATTACCGTAGATCTCAAGGTAAGACTAGATCCAGGACCGATTTACTTTTTCGTTTTGACGTCCCCAGAGGCCAAAAACACCATCCGTTCAAATTCGTTATAGCCTATATTTATATATGATCAGATTTTGATGAAATTCTGGTACAAACGTGTAAACCTACGTTTTATTCGAACGAGTTCACGAACCAGCATAATCAAACTATGGAAACGGGGATATATACTATGGAGTAAAAATTAATTTTTCCATTTTTTAACCCAAAAAACACAAAGTTTCAAGATTTCTCTCCAAACCATTTTGTAGAGCTTAAAAAAGAAATAATTTTGTATATTAAAGCGTTGTTGTATGCCCAACGGTTACGGAGATAATAAATAAATATATAAATTTAAAATTCCCATGACTGTTGTTGTTATCTTCCCCATAGCAGTAGCAGCAAACCTACTCACTGAAATTAATGTTATTTAAAAATTGAATAAATCTGACTATTTGTAGGGAATATTTTAAGAAATCAAGCCGGGTAAATGGGAATTCGCTTAGTTTGCAGATTTGCTAAAGTGTTTTTTTTTTTTTATAATCTCCGCCACACCGCAGTAATTATCTCCAATCATCTTAAAAAAGCGTCTTAAAACTAACTATAAAGAATAATCAATTGATGAATCAATTATCTTCATTAAATATATAATTTAATTATAAAATAAATGTAAGAAATAAATTTTAAAAAATGTATTTTAAAGCGTCCTTGACTTCCTTGCTAACGGCTAGTATTTAAAACTTCTCTGGCAACAAGGCAATAAGTTTTGAAAAATATATATGGTTCCAGTAAATGTTATATCAAAAAAGTAACTGTTATCCTTCAAACTCGGACATGTTAAATTTTGTTCAAAATGATATAAGCACAATATTTTTGTATCAGACCAATTCATATAGGAGCTTTCACAAAACCTACCGAGCTTGGCGTGATAAGTGATAGACGGAGAGATGGTGAGCTAATAGAGAAAATAATTCTAATATTCAACGACTTGCATCACAACTACCTAGGTGGTGAGAGGTTTACATTATAACATATCCATTACAGTAATGTGGACTGGAATATAAAACTATTTTTACTTATTTTAATTACTGGAGGAGGAGGACCTTGAAAAAATCCTGCTGAACATGGCGTGATTAGTGATAGACGGAGAGACGGTGAGCTAATAAAGAAAATAATTCTAATATTCAACGACTTGCATCACAACTACCTAGGTGGTGAGAGGTGTTAGATTATAACATATCAATTACAGTAATATGGACTGGAATATAAAACTATTTTTACTTATTTTAATTACTGGAGGACCTTGAAAAAATCCTGCTGAACATAGCATGATAAGTGATAGACGGAGAGACTGTGAGCTAGTAGGCAAAAATAATTCTAATATTCAACGACTTGCATCACAACTACCTAGGTGGTGAGAGGTGTTAGATTATAACATATCAATTACAGTAATAGGGACTAGAATATAAAACTATTTTAACTTATTTTAATTACTGGAGGACCTTGAAAAAATCCTGCTGAACATGGCGTGATAAGTGATAGACGGAGAAACGGTGAGCTAATAGAGAAAATAATTGTAATATTCAACGACTTGCATCACAACTACCTAGGTGGTGAGAGGTGTTAGATTATAACATATCAATTACAGTAATGTGGACTGGAATATAAAACTATTTTTACTTATTTTAATTACTGGAGGACCTTGAAAAAATCCTGCTGAACATGGCGTGATAAGTGATAGACGGAGAGACGTTGAGCTAATAGAGAAAATAATTATAATATTCAACGACTTGCATCACAACTACCTAGGTGGTGAGAGGTTTTAGATTATAACATATCAATAACAGTAATGTGGTCTGGAATAAAAAACTATTTTTACTTATTTTAATTACTGGAGGACCTTGAAAAAATCCTTATGAACATTGCATGATAAGTGATAGACGGAGAGACTGTGAGCTAGTAGGCAAAATAATTAGCCTATATAATGAAGGAAACCTACAAAGATTCATACAAACAATGAACGAGGTTGTTAGCCGAAGTGCTACTATTTTTGTAGGATAATAACTCATTACAGAGGAAATCCTTCTAATGCTGAATAAAACTGGTATTTAATATCAAAATTTTTGCGAATTTCTCCAAAAGCAAGAAGCTTTTACCGTAGGCGTTACAGTAAGACCTAGGCGGGGAACAATTTTCAAGTTTTTCATTTTAGGGGTCTTAAAAGTAACAAACACCAGTCGTTTATATTTATATTCATGTAGTGTGTATATTTTACATTCTTTTTAAGATCCCAAAATATAATCTATAATGGTCCCGTAACCAAGCCGTTGCCTTGCCGCTTATAAGAATCATTCACTAAAATACATTAACTATTAATGAATGAATTTCATGAATGAATTCTATTTCGACGTCATTGTTATATTATAGCTTTCCTAGCCAAAGATTTGCCTTGTTTTTGCTGATCGATTGTTTAACTGTATTGTCAGTCCAAACCTTTGTTATTGCTTTTACACAATTATTTTGAACTTTATTGTTAAATTATTGCTTTCCTAGTTAAGATTATATTTCCTGTTACCAATGTTGCTCTGCTCCTTCCATAGATTTAAGTTAGTTGTTAAGTTTTCTGTTAAAATGCATGTTGTTACCACATAGGCTTCTTGAATCCACATTGTAAATTGGTGATATTGCCGTTGGAATAAATAAATAAACAAATAAATAATTTCAACATGCATCAGGTCAACTTGAACATAGCTTTTACCTTATATAAATATACAAGGTACCAAGATATAAATCTCGTTCAATACCAAACAAATTAAATGCAATACAATTTGTTTTATAATTATTAATCGTTCCACGGCTTTTCGCACAACCGCATTATGCCAATTCGATCCTTAGACTTTTGTTAGGTTTCTTAGGAAAGGTATATAATAAAATATTAAAATCGGAGGAAAATTTCGATACGCACTTTGTTATGAAACTATACAATGTATACACTCAATAAATGCAAAAGAAACGTAAAACAATTTATTTCTATGACATTAGACTTTCCGCGTTTTAAAACAATTTAATACAAAACTATACAATATGTACAAAATCAATATAAAGCAAATGCAAGATAATAAGTTTCTAGCCTAGTAGACTATTTTAGGACGCTTTCATCCCTTAGCCGCCTTCATAAGATAAACACATTATTATACATATGGGATTATGCATTTCAAAATGGGAAAGAGTGTTGCTTCAGCATGTAGATGCTTAACGAATAATATTACAGAATATAGTGTTTTCCGTATTTATATGTGAGTGACTGTATGTAAAATTTAAATAACATAGATTATGGAAGCAGTTAGATTATAATTGGGCAAATTAAAATATTTAAAACATCAATTCGTTTAATTAAAAAAAACCTAACTGTTTGGTCCACAATGGCATGACATGCCGGGCACGTTATCGGTACTCGTACTTGAGTACCAATTGTTGGGAGACAAATGCCCTCAAACATCCACTATACAACACTGGGTGCCCACAGGGGAAGGGGGTGCAAAGCCTCGTGGGCTTCATTACACCACAGAAGCGACACGTGTTAACGGAACAAGAGAATCAAGAGTTGGAGTTCATTGAAACCTAAACAAAGAATGAAAGAATGTTTGTTGGGGTGCGAGCTTTCTCTCCCCGGCAGGTAGCTACAGCCCCGACAAGGGTCGAAGGGACGCTGCATATAACAGACAAATGTGCTTTTTGGACAGACCTCACGTTTAAGTCCCTACCATGTGCAACTCTTGGTTTGTATAATTCAAACAATAAACATCTATCTATATATATAACTAGCTGAACCCGGCAGACGTTGTCTTGCCTTTGACTATTTATAATCCCGCGGGCTTTGCCCCGTTTAACTTCTTAATTTTCAAGATGATCTCGTTCGCATGGCTCAATCACGTCCTGACTGAAGTTCGTTCGCTACGCTCACTCACCTTTAGGTTGGAACTCGTTCGCTGCACTCACTTGCCTTCAGGTTAGCTCGTTCGCTACGCTCACTTGCCTTCAGGTTAGCTCGTTCGCTACGCTAACTCGCCTCCAGGTTGAAGTTCGTTCGCTACGCTCACTCACCTTTTGGTTGCAAATTAGCTGTTGTCATAAATTTAAAAGAAATAATAGTGCTGCACCCTGTTGGTAATCCTTGTAACTTTAATGCTATTGAACATCATAGAAGACTGGAATGGCTTTAAAGTGTTGAATGATGTGCATGCAATCGCCGATGCATTGTCATCAAAAATAGTAGAAATATATGACTCTTGTGCTCCGCTTGTTACAAAACGAGTGACGAAGGGGAA